TGTGTCTCTGAATTTCATGAGATGATTGGTGGAATTTCGGTGTTGTACACAGGCGTTGTTCAAGATTTACGTAGGTGAAACAGCCAGAAACCTCGACACCCGCCTCAATGAACACATTTACGCATGTAGGAACGATAACTTGAACAACGCCTGTGTACAACACCGAAATTCCACCAATCATCTCATGAAATTCAGAGACGCCCAATTAGTGATCAAAGAAACTAATTTCCGCAGACGCAAGTGCCTCGAATCAGCACTGATCGCTGTTTCGAATACAATTAAACAAAACAACGGCAGCTTCACCATCTCCGAAGTCTTAGCAAGAATCCTCCTGAAAACAGTAAACCCTGCCATCACATAGTCTCTCCTGTTATACTACACAAAGCACAGAGAGTGAACACTGTAACAAGCTGCCTCATTCCAGTCTATATTTGTCCAACCTATTTTTATGTTACCCAAGTAATAGCTTTTATATCCTTTTACTCATGTACGAATTAATTGCTCTACCATATTGTATTACTTTTGTCACTACCACTACTACTACTACTACTACTACTACTACTACTACTACTACTACTACTACTACCACTACCACTAGTGAACATCGAAATGGTACCTCACTAGTATTACACCTCACTCTGAGCCTTTATATACCCTCTGTGTCCATGTATTGTTTGTAATGGCTTGATAAAGCTCCTGGAGAGCGAAACGTTGCCACAATAAATGTCACATTAGTTGCACTTGTGTCCTTTTACTTTACATATTGTCGGTAATTCTACCAACTTTATTACAAGATCAATGCAGTTGAACCATCAATAAAGTTTACACTTGAACTCGAAAATGATGGCAAACTTCCTTTCCTCGACGTTCTACTGTGCAGATCTCCCGACAGTGACAAACTTCTCTTCAAAGTGTATAGAAAACCTACCAACAAGGACGATCTTATACACTTTTATTCACACCAAGACACCCGCACTAAGAGAGGAGTCCTCATTGGCTTCTTCTTGAGAGCTCTTCGCATCTCCAGCCCTTGTTTTCTAGAAGAAGAATGCACTTACATAACACAAGCCTTTACACGTCTTCAGTTCCCATCTTTCTTCATCCGAGATTGCAGACTCAAGGCACAAACTATCCTCAAACAAACCGCCCATGGAACAGCCCCCCTAAACAGTTCATAGTACTCCCATGTGGCGATGTTGCCACGAATACTCGCCGGGCACTTACTATGAGTAACATCAACGTTTCCACCATAAACACATCATCTATCAAAGACCTCACTACGAAACGCAGCCCCACACCTCTAACTTCTACAGCAGGCGTCTAACACTATCCCCTGTGGGTTCTGTCCCAAGAAATATGTAGGCGAGACAGGCAGAGATCTTGCAGTCCGCCTGAATGAGCATCGAAAATGCCTCTAACAAGACGATTAAGTACGCCTGTGTCCTCCACAGAGACTCCACGGGCATTTGATGAACTGGAACGAGGCACAACTCGTTCTCACCGAACCAGACCTCAGACGCCGACGGTGCCTAGAAGCCTCACTAATCGCCGTCACCGACACTATAGAACGCAACACTGGAAACTACAAAATTTCAAAAACATTGGCATACATGATACTTAAGCAGCACCAACCCAACAACACAGGAGTCACATGATTTCATCGTCTACCCGTCCTCATCATAGGTAGAGGTTGTTTTGATAAAGACCTGCCTCGCATGGGCCAGTAGGCCTTCTACAGTGTTCTTCCATTCTTATGTTCTTATGACATTCCTCAGGTCACGTGCGTCACATCTCACTCTCCGCCTATATATATAATGTCTTTCTACCTCTGTATGTTAGAAGTGATCAAGGTCCCAGGACCGAAACGTTTTCTAATAAATATGTTATAGTGTTTGCTTACGTGTCTTTCTAAACCATTTCTTCATGTATCATCACAAGATACATTATAGTACAATAATAATAAAATATTATATTGAAATAATATCACTTAAGTTTTACTATTTAAAATATTTACTGTGTATAAACCGACCAAAATAAACTAAATAACTTCCTATAAAAACTATATATTTTATAACTATAAATGAAGTTAAACAAATTCTAAATTCAAAATGAATATTTTTAGAAAAGTTACAGAAAGTGTTTTGTAAATTAACTCAATAATATATATCAGACCACTTTTATAAATTAAAATAAGAAAGTGTGTCATAAAGCGGAAACTGTTATAAAAGTAAGAAGCTTATACAGGGTATACTATACTGACTCGCCCGTCCAGGGCAGGTCCTTCTCTAATACAAGCTACCCAACATTCTCCACCTGACTCTGCACACTATATACATATACTCACACTCAGATACATGTGTTTGTGACTTAATAAAGTCTACTGTGTGTGAGAAACGTTGCCCAAAAAAGATAAAATTATACTGTTTTTCTGTATATTTTTCCCTCCAAAAAGGCCTTTAACTGACTTGTTTTTAATTACTTATAAGTAGGGACTAATAAACTTAGTTTTTTCAGCATAAACAAAGCCAACTGTTTTTAAAATTATTATTTTTTTTAAAAAAAGATGTTTTTTTGGTGTAAAAATAGAAAAATTTACTGAGGGGTTTGTAGGGGTTTAAAGATGGCGTTTTTTGTGTGTACTGGTCACCAAGCAATGGCTGCCCCATGGACCGTGAAAAACACATTTTTGATAAACATTTCTACGCCCCAATTCTCTTTCATTTACATTTCAGTGATTTTTTTTGGGGGCATAAAATTTAAATTTTAAACCCATTTAAAAACAAAACAAAATTTTTTTAATTTTAAAAAAAGTTATTTTAATTGAAAGTAAAGACTTTGAGATGATGGATAAAACAAAAAGGAAACTAGATATGTAGTGGCACTGGTTTTATGTGTGGGTTTTCCCGTGTTAATGTGTGGGGTATGTCTGTGTGTATGTTTGTGAGTATACATTCAAATCACCCGGGGAAAGGGGACGCCCAGTAAAACAGGGGTCCCCCCCTGATACCTGGTCCCTCTCTCTTGCCCATATTAAAAAGGGAAGTTATTTTGTATAAATAATTTTAAATGATGGCATTTACCTGTTCACTGATCGGCTTCTTATTTTTTTCGTAATTTTTAAAAAAAAGCCAAAGCTCCCGCTTCACACACCCGGGGGGCCCCCGGGTTTGATTTTCCCCGGGGGGGTGGAAAAAAATTTCGAAAACGTTCCTTACCCCCTGTTTTTCCCTTTTACCTAGGGAGCAAAAGGTACCTGGGGGTTGTCGACTGGTTGGGTCGCATCCTGGGGGCCCAAAATTTAAGGACCCCAATGGAAAAAAGTTAAAATCCCGAAGACGCACTGACTTTTTTTGGGGTTTTCCTGGTGGTAACCCTCCGGGTTTTAAAAACCGAAAGAAATCTTATCTTATCTTAAACTTATCACGTGAACCCCCTTTAGTTTTCAAGTTTTTTAAAAAATCAGACAGAAACATCATCTTTGCCTCACACAATGGTTTTTATCATACTCAAAGTAGGATGGGTTTATCATACTCCCCAAAAATGATGGGTTTTTTTTTTCAAAACCAAACATGATGTTTTTTATCCAAAAAAATTTAAACCCGGATATTTTTAAATTATATTCCAACACACAGAATAAGTTTTCTTGGGCTGAGAGCGGGCTGAAAGTGTCCGACTTTGGGGAGGAAAATATGGGACCCGGCTTTTATACATATTTTTAAAAACAGGACGATAAGGGCCCCCAAGCAAAATTTAAAAGTCAAAATCATCTTAGAACGAAACCCTGCAATCACAAATAGGGAGTGCACACAAAACCCACACATAAAAAACTTTTGTACGGTGCACCATGACCCAAAACAAAGCGGCTCTAAATGACTTTATTATTTTTTTCTTCAAACCCAAAAATGGTTACAAAAAACTGCTTCCATATTGAATTTCCTTTTAATTTTTTTTTTCCGTGATATAGGGGTGGTAAAAAAAGGGGAATTTTCCCAAAAGGCCTTTTTAAATTTAAATTCCCGAGGCTATAGGTCCCATAATTTTCAATAAATACAAACCCCACAGTAAAATAAACTTTCCGGCCTCTCCCACCCAGGAAAGGGGAACCCAAAAAAATTCGATGCTTTCACCAACATAAATTCAATCAAATTCTTGCAAAAGTGTTTTTAACCCTTTTAGAAAGAAAATCCCCCCCCCCTGCAGAAAAGCCCAAAAACTGTGCCGTGGTACAGTGTGGGTTTTTAAAAAAGCTGAAACCCCCCCAAGTGTTGGGCCCGTATTTCATATAAAAATCCGTGTCCCACTTCTTTATTTGTAGTAACAATATTTTTTTTCCATCATATTAAAAACAAAAACTGATTATCTTCTTTGTTTCCTTTTAAATTTTGGTTATTCTGAAGTTCCTTAAATAGCCAGAGGGGCTACAAAGCCTTTTAAAATGCCTATAAATTTACGAAATCTTTTGAATTTTTCTTTTAAAAAAAAATCTACAGACGAAATGTCAAGTCATGTCATTTAATTATATAAAAAGTTTTGTTTATGGGTTGTGTTTGGCAGACCGTGATCAAACACATCTCAGAGCCTCGGACCAAAAGGGAAAGGTTTACCTACAGCTATGTTTCCCTGAGCTGAATACTTAAAAAAAGTTAGGTTAAATTTCTAATTTTTTTTGTTATAATCTATGGGGGTATGCACCTTTAGAGTGGGTTAAGCAGTCAAAAACTCTATGCTAAGTACGTCTTTAACGGGACGGGTTTGATATAATAATAATAATAAAATAAAATAATAAAAATAATAAAAATAATAATAATAATAATAATAAAATAACAATAATAATAAATAATAATAAAAATCTTTTTTTTAAACTTGGTTTTCATTTATTTTCATATTTTACAACACTGTGAAATTTTAAGGTGATATAATTGAAGGTAATAAATCCTCCTTTAAATTGTGTACTTAACAAATATGACATTATTATTGTTGTTATAACTGATACAGGTGTGTTGGAGTGTTAGTGTGACCATGGTTGAACTAGTTACACTAGTGTTGTTGCTTACCATCACCGGTGTTGTTGGTAAGTGTTACCTCTACAGTGTTGGTGTCCTCAGATCTCTCTTTATTTCTCTATCTCAAAGTATTGATGGATATATTTTTTTTAAATAAGAATAATATAAAAACTTTTTTTTTTAATCAAAACTAACTCTGAAACCTCACGTAACCTAACTTAACGTATTTTTTAGCTAAATTTTGCTGTGTGTGTGTGTGTGTGTGTGTGTGTGTGTGTGTGTGTGTGTGTGTGTGTGTGTGTGTGTGTGTGTGTGTGTGTTTGTGTGTATGTGTGTGTGTGTGTGTGTGTGTGTGTGTGTGTGTGTGTGTGTGTGTGTGTGTGTGTGTGTGTGTTTGTGTGTTTGTGTGTATGTGTGTGTGTGTGTGTGTGTGTGTGTTGTGTGTGTGTGTGTGTGTGTGTGTGTGTGTGTGTGTGTGCGTTTGTGTGTATGTGTGTGTGTGTGTGTGTGTGTGTGTGTGTTTGTGTGTATGTGTGTGTGTATGTGTGTGTGTGTGTTTGTTTGTGTGTATGTGTGTGTGTATGTGTGTGTGTGTGTGTGTGTGTGTGTGTGTGTGTGTGTGTGTGTGTGTGTGTGTGTGTGTGTGTGTGTGTGTGTGTGTGTGTTTGTGTGTATGTGTGTGTGTATGTGTGTGTGTGTGTGTGTGTGTGTTTGTGTGTATGGGTGTTTATTTCATGATGCTAGCCGTTGTATATAGTAGCGGAAGGAGAGTCAGCAGCTGGAGCCAAGAAAGAGTGCTACGCTAACCCGAATGGCGACAAGATGGATCCCAACAACATCTACACATGTGTGTCTCCTCAGACCTGTTGCCAGGAGAACGCTGTTCCCACCTGTTGCGCCACTAAAGAAACTTCAGAAGCAGTTGTGGGACAGGTAAGACCTAACCCCCATCCTCCTCCTGCTCTGCCTTGTACTCAGTTCTCATATATATTGTATAACATTAATAGATATCAACACACGCACTACGTTGATAGGCATTAACCATCCAAAGGCGCACTAGCGTCCTACCAAACAAGTGTTAAAGGTATTACACTCTAGCAGGATAGTGTTCTTCCTGTTTTGTAAATATTAAATTGAGAGAGAAATGTTTGAAGCGTCTTCTTACATTTGTTTATTTTATTGTGCCATACTAAAGAGGCACGTAAGTTTCCCCGTCTTCTACGTACATGTCTATTTTTCCACTATAATCTACCTTTTCCATAATTACTATCGCATTTACTTTGTCTGTTTTGTAAGGTGAAGTCTGAGCAAAGTTCAGACCTCTGCAACACAACTGTCCTGAAAGATTTGTTAAGTTATATCATAAACTAAGGAAAGATCTTAGACTTCACCGTATGAAACAAAGTAAATGCGACAGTAATTATGGACAAGGTAGAGAGTGGAAAAATGAACCTGCTATTAGAAGACGGAGGAACTTAGGTGCCCCTTAAGTCTTTATTACTGTAGTGTGGTGCTTCCTTGCTGCATTGCAAACTTCAATTGTTTTTCACACACGACGTTTCTCTCGAGAGGATAACTGAAGGATACCTAAGGTATATTTTCGGGGGTTAATGCCTCTTCGGCCCGGTCCCAAATCAGGACTCCTGGCGGATCAAGGTCTGGTCAATCAGGCTGCTACAGCTGGCCGCAAGCAGTCTGGCATACGAACAACAGCCTGACTGATCTTCAACTAACTTTAGGAAGCCATCCAGTTCCCTCTTGACGACAGGTAGAAGTTTGTTGATAATTTCCCTTGTGTACGATGGGAAGCTGTTACAAAACCTAGACTGATCCCTGGAACCATTAATAAATATTCTCCTAATTATAAGTACCTGATATCCAAAGATTTTAACTCCCTCATAAGAAAGTTGCTTCGTATTCATTTTTTGTTATATATTTATGTGCTATAGCTTGTTATATTCTCTATGACTTGTATCATCGTCCGTGTTCACCTAACATAAGAACATAAGATGTGGAAAAAGACACTTATGTACAGTTCAGGACATTTATTAAAGGAAACGTTTCGCCACGAGTGGCTTCTTCAGTCCTAATACAGAGAAAACTAAGAAAACATTTATATATATAGTGGCAGGAGTCAGGTGAGGTGACGTGTGGGTAGAGGTGGTAGTAGTAGTAGTAGTAGTAGTAGTAGTAGTAGTAGTAGTAGTAGTAGTAATGGAACTAAGGAGGTGAGGTTAGAGAGGGACCTGCTGGCATCAAGTAACACCAGTTCCCAGGATGGGTAATATCCTCTTGCTTAGTAATTTTGAAATACTGTAACTACCGGATTTTTGCTTTATAGTGTTACTGACAGAAATTAGTGCAGCTTCAATGCATTTTCTCCGTCTTAAGTCGTCTTCTTTAATAACTAGTTTAGCTTCATTGAATTTCATGAGGTGTCCAACATCGTCTCTATGTTGAACACATGCGTTTTTGCGGTCATCATTTCTGCAAGCATTTTTGTGTTTGAGAGAATGAGGTTAAATTACTAAATGCTTAATGGAAGGTACAGAGGGATCATGATCTTCCCTTCCCCATCGCTATAACAAGACAAGAGTCACCAAACTCTCAAATGCTGTTATACTGCTAGTTAAATAGGAACGGAAGGTGTAAGGAAAAATGCCTGGGAATCGAGCAATGGAAGCTCTTACCACTGAGCTAGAAGTCAAATGTAAACTAAAAACTTCACACTGTGTGAAGTGTGAAAGACAAGTGTCACTGAGCACACCTGTGTTGTTAACTTTGTCAGGCGCAGTTGTGGGGCACTCTGGCGGGGTTGATCATAGTGGTGGCACTACTAATGTGGTACTGTCGTCATGATGGTGACTGTTGTGGCAACACCAAGGGCAAGATTGGTTGCTGCTGCTGTACCCGCGATGAAGTACCAGACAACGCCAACACTGATATGTGAGTTAACACACACACACACACACACACACATATATATATATATATATATATATATATATATATATATATATATATATATATATATATATATATATATAATATATATATATATAATGTGTGTGTGTGTTCGTGTGAGCACTGTGTACATATAGTTTATAGTTTACTTTAGGATTGAAATAGCAGATACTGAGCATTTCTCTCAGTGTGATTATACTGTGTCAGATTAACATAAAACGAACGTGACACACGTCAGTGTTCCACAGTTTTTAACAAATGGATATAACAATCATAACTTCAAAAAAATGCAATTCTTACGAACAAATTTTGCATAAAAAAATCCTGAAAACAAAATGTATTTATGTTAATTTTTCTTGACAGTGAAAAGGTTAAGCTTCCTCCTGAGCCAGAGAAGCTTCCTGCTGCTCCAGTAAATAAAGACTTAGTTGACATCGAGAGTGATGTAGTTCCTTAAGATGTCTGCACTGCTTGTAAGATGCCACACTGACATTTCAACCTCTTACAACGCTCCAAGACTACTTTAAATCACAACTTGTCTTAATCAAAAACTGAACGAGTGGAACGAGTATAGAGAGAGAGACAGAGACAGAATCTTAAAAATACGTTAATTTTCCCTACTATTCGTACTTAACTGAGAAAGGAAGTACATAATGCCAGAATATTAAGGCTAAGACTAATACAACTTATGTATGATGAAGTGTGTGTGTGTTTGTCTGTGAACACTGTTCTCACATTCTATTATTCTTCTACTATAAGTGTAAAGTTAAGATCATTGTTTACTACTGTGGTAGAGTGCAACACTCACAGTGTAGTAACAGTAGCAGCTGTCATATTTACTACTGTGGTAGAGTGCAACACTCACAGTGTAGTAACAGTAGCAGCTGTCATATTTACTACTGTGGTAGAGTGCAACACTCACAGTGTAGTAACGGTAGTAGCTGTCATATTTACTACTGTGGTAGAGTGCAACACTCACAGTATAGTAACGGTAGCAGCTGTCATATTTACTACTGTGGTAGAGTGCAACACTCACAGTATAGTAACGGTAGTAGCTGTCATATTTACTACTGTGGTAGAGTGCAACACTCACAGTATAGTAACGGTAGTAGCTGTCATATTTACTACTCTGGTAGAGTGCAACACTCACAGTATAGTAACGGTAGCAGCTGTCATATTTACTACTGTGGTAGAGTGCAACACTCAGTGTAGTAACGGTAGCAGCTGTCATATTTACTACTGTGGTAGAGTGCAACACTCACAGTGTAGTAACGGTAGCAGCTGTCATATTTACTACTGTGGTAGAGTGCAACACTCACAGTGTAGTAACGGAAACAGCTGTCATATTTACTACTGTGGTAGAGTGCAACACTCACAGTATAGTAACGGTAGCAGCTGTCATATTTACTACTGTGGTAGAGTGCAACACTCAGTGTAGTAACGGTAGCAGCTGTCATATTTACTACTGTGGTAGAGTGCAACACTCAGTGTAGTAACGGTAGTAGCTGTCATATTTACTACTGTGGTAGAGTGCAACACTCACAGTATAGTAACGGTAGCAGCTGTCACATTTACTACTGTGGTAGAGTGCAACACTCACAGTATAGTAACGGTAGCAGCTGTCACATTTACTACTGTGGTAGAGTGCAACACTCACAGTATAGTAACGGTAGCAGCTGTCATATTTACTACTGTGGTAGAGTGCAACACTCAGTGTAGTAACAGTAGCAGCTGTCATATTTACTACTGTGGTAGAGTGCAACACTCACAGTATAGTAACGGTAGCAGCTGTCATAATTACTACTGTGGTAGAGTGCAACACTCACAGTGTAGTAACGGTAGCAGCTGTCATATTTACTACTGTGGTAGAGTGCAACACTCACAGTGTAGTAACAGTAGCAGCTGTCATATTTACTACTGTGGTAGAGTGCAACACTCAGTGTAGTAACGGTAGCAGCTGTCATATTTACTACTGTAGTAGAGTGCAACACTCAGTGTAGTAACGGTAGCAGCTGTCATATTTACTACTGTGGTAGAGTGCAACACTCAGTGTAGTAACGGTAGCAGCTGTCATATTTACTACTGTGGTAGAGTGCAACACTCACAGTATAGTAACAGTAGCAGCTGTCATAATTACTACTGTGGTAGAGTGCAACACTCACAGTATAGTAACGGTAGCAGCTGTCATAATTACTACTGTGGTAGAGTGCAACACACAGTGTAGTAACGGTAGCAGCTGTCACATTTACAACTGTGGTAGAGTGCAACACTCACAGTGTAGTAACGGTAGCAGCTGTCACATTTACTACTGTGGTAGAGTGCAACACTCACAGTATAGTAACAGTAGCAGCTGTCATAATTACTACTGTGGTAGAGTGCAACACACAGTGTAGTAACGGTAGCAGCTGTCATATTTACTACTGTGGTAGAGTGCAACACTCAGTGTAGTAACGGTAGCAGCTGTCATATTTACTACTGTGGTAGAGTGCAACACTCAGTGTAGTAACGGTAGCAGCTGTCATATTTACTACTGTGGTAGAGTGCAACACTCACAGTATAGTAACGGTAGCAGCTGTCACATTTACTACTGTGGTAGAGTGCAACACTCCACAGTATAGTAACAGTAGCAGCTGTCACATTTACTACTGTGGTTAGAGTGCAACACTCACAGTATAGTAACAGTAGCAGCTGTCATATTTACTACTGTGGTAGAGTGCAACACTCAGTGTAGTAACGGTAGCAGCTGTCATATTTACTACTGTGGTAGAGTGCAACACTCACAGTATAGTAACGGTAGCAGCTGTCATAATTACTACTGTGGTAGAGTGCAACACTCACAGTATAGTAACGGTAGCAGCTGTCACATTTACTACTGTGGTAGAGTGCAACACTCACAGTATAGTAACAGTAGCAGCTGTCACATTTACTACTGTGGTAGAGTGCAACACTCACAGTATAGTAACAGTAGCAGCTGTCATATTTACTACTGTGGTAGAGTGCAACACTCAGTGTAGTAACGGTATATGTCACATTTACACTGCACTTTGGTCATAGTTATTATAAGAAAATATTAAGTCATTTTGAAAAAATACGTTGAAGGCTTTTGCCAGTGTAGAACCAGTATACTCGCATTATGTATAGTGTATGTGTGTGTATACTCGCATTATGTATAGTGTATGTGTGTGTATACTCGCATTATGTATAGTGTATGTGTGTGTATACTTGCATTATGTATAGTGTATGTGTGTGTATACTCGCATTATGTATAGTGTATGTGTGTGTATACTTGCATTATGTATAGTGTATGTGTGTGTATACTCGCATTATGTATAGTGTATGTGTGTGTATACTCGCATTATGTATAGTGTAGTGTGTGTATACTCGCATTATGTATAGTGTATGTGTGTGTATACTCGCATTATGTATAGTGTATGTGTGTGTATACTCGCATTATGTATAGTGTATGTGTGTGTATACTTGCATTATGTATAGTGTATGTGTGTGTATACTTGCATTATGTATAGTGTGTGTTGTGTATACTTGCATTATGTATAGTGTATGTGTGTGTATACTCGCATTATGTATAGTGTATGTGTGTGTATACTCGCATTATGTATAGGTGTATGTGTGTGTATACTCGCATTATGTATAGTGTATGTGTGTGTATACTCGCATTATGTATAGTGTATGTGTGTGTATACTCGCATTATGTATAGTGTATGTGTGTGTATACTCGCATTATGTATAGTGTATGTGTGTGTATACTCGCATTATGTATAGTGTATGTGTGTGTATACTCGCATTATGTATAGTGTATGTGTGTGTATACTTGCATTATGTATAGTGTATGTGTGTGTATACTTGCATTATGTATAGTGTGTGTGTGTGTATACTTGCATTATGTATAGTGTATGTGTGTGTATACTCGCATTATGTATAGTGTATGTGTGTGTATACTCGCATTATGTATAGTGTATGTGTGTGTATACTCGCATTATGTATAGTGTATGTGTGTGTATACTTGCATTATGTATAGTGTATGTGTGTGTATACTTGCATTATGTATAGTGTATGTGTGTGTATACTCGCATTATGTATAGTGTATGTGTGTGTATACTCGCATTATGTATAGTGTATGTGTGTGTATACTCGCATTATGTATAGTGTATGTGTGTGTATACTTGCATTATGTATAGTGTATGTGTGTGTATACTTGTATTATGTATAGTGTATGTGTGTGTATACTCGCATTATGTATAGTGTATGTGTGTGTATACTCGCATTATGTATAATGTATGTGTGTGTATACTTGTATTATGTATAGTGTATGTGTGTGTATACTCGCATTATGTATAGTGTATGTGTGTGTATACTTGCATTATGTATAGTGTATGTGTGTGTATACTTGTATTATGTATAGTGTATGTGTGTGTATACTTGTATTATGTATAGTGTATGTGTGTGTGTATACTCGCATTAGGTATAGTATGTATGTGTGTGTGTGTATGTGTAGACAAATACAAGCCTCTTATAACAGTGTTGCTGTTTTTTATAACAGTGTTGCTGTTGTTTTATAAGTGTTGCTGTTGTCTTATAACAGTGTTGCTGTTGTTTTATAACAGTGTTGCTGTTGTTTTATAACAGTGTTGCTGTTGTTTTATAACAGTGTTGCTGTTGTCTTATAACAGTGTTGCTGTTGTTTTATAACAGTGTTGCTGTTGTTTTATAACAGTGTTGCTGTTGTTTTATAACAGTGTTGCTGTTGTCTTATAACAGTGTTGCTGTTGTCTTATAACAGTGTTGCTGTTGTCTTATAACAGTGTTGCTGTTGTTTTATAACAGTGTTGCTGTTGTCTTATAACAGTGTTGCTGTTGTCTTATAACAGTGTTGCTGTTGTTTTATAACAGTGTTGCTGTTGTCTTATAACAGTGTTGCTGTTGTCTTATAACAGTGTTGCTGTTGTTTTATAACAGTGTTGCTGTTGTCTTATAACAGTGTTGCTGTTGTTTTTATAACAGTGTTGCTGTTGTTTTATAACAGTGTTGCTGTTGTCTTATAACAGTGTTGCTGTTGTTTTATAACAGTGTTGCTGTTGTCTTATAACAGTGTTGCTGTTGTCTTATAACAGTGTTGCTGTTGTCTTATAACAGTGTTACTGTTGTCTTATAACAGTGTTGCTGTTGTCTTATAACAGTGTTACTGTTGTCTTATAACAGTGTTGCTGTTGTCTTATAACAGTGTTGCTGTTGTCTTATAACAGTGTTGCTGTTGTCTTATAACAGTGTTGCTGTTGTCTTATAACAGTGTTGCTGTTGTCTTATAACAGTGTTGCTGTTGTCTTATAACAGTGTTGCTGTTGTTTTATAACAGTGTTGCTGTTGTCTTATAACAGTGTTGCTGTTGTTTTATAACAGTGTTGCTGTTGTCTTATAAACAGTGTTGCTGTTGTCTTATAACAGTGTTGCTGTTGTCTTATAACAGTGTTGCTGTTTGTCTTATAACAGTGTTGCTGTTGTCTTATAAGTGTTGCTGTTGTCTTATAACAGTGTTGCTGTTGTCTTATAACAGTGTTGCTGTTGTCTTATAACAGTGTTGCTGTTGTTTTATAACAGTGTTGCTGTTGTCTTATAACAGTGTTGCTGTTGTTTTATAACAGTGTTGCTGTTGTCTTATAACAGTGTTGCTGTTGTCTTATAAGTGTTGCTGTTGTCTATAACAGTGTTGCTGTTGTCTTATAACAGTGTTGCTGTTGTCTTATAACAGTGTTGCTGTTGTTTTATAACAGTGTTGCTGTTGTCTTATAACAGTGTTGCTGTTGTCTTATAACAGTGTTGCTGTTGTCTTATAACAGTGTTGCTGTTGTCTTATAACAGTGTTGCTGTTGTCTTATAACAGTGTTGCTGTTGTTTTATAACAGTGTTGCTGTTGTCTTATAACAGTGTTGCTGTTGTCTTATAACAGTGTTGCTGTTGTCTTATAACAGTGTTGCTGTTGTCTTATAACAGTGTTGCTGTTGTCTTATAACAGTGTTGCTGTTGTCTTATAAGTGTTGCTGTTGTCTTATAACAGTGTTGCTGTTGTCTTATAACAGTGTTGCTGTTGTCTTATAACAGTGTTGCTGTTGTTTTATAACAGTGTTGCTGTTGTCTTATAACAGTGTTGCTGTTGTTTTATAACAGTGTTGCTGTTGTCTTATAACAGTGTTGCTGTTGTCTTATAAGTGTTGCTGTTGTCTTATAACAGTGTTGCTGTTGTCTTATAACAGTGTTGCTGTTGTCTTATAACAGTGTTGCTGTGTTTTATAACAGTGTTGCTGTTGTCTTATAACAGTGTTGCTGTTGTCTTATAACAGTGTTGCTGTTGTCTTATAACAGTGTTGCTGTTGTCTTATAACATGTTGCTGTTGTCTTATAACAGTGTTGCTGTTGTTTTATAACAGTGTTGCTGTTGTCTTATAACAGTGTTGCTGTTGTCTTATAACAGTGTTACTGTTGTCTTATAACAGTGTTGCTGTTGTCTTATAACAGTGTTGCTGTTGTCTTATAACAGTGTTGCTGTTGTCTTATAACAGTGTTGCTGTTGTCTTATAACAGTGTTGCTGTTGTCTTATAACAGTGCTGCTGTTGTCTTATAACAGTGTTGCTGTTGTTTTATAAGTGTTGCTGTTGTCTTATAACAGTGTTGCTGTTGTCTTATAACAGTGTTGCTGTTGTCTTATAAGTGTTGCTGTTGTTTTATAACAGTGTTGCTGTTGTCTTATAACAGTGTTTCTGTTGTCTTATAACAGTGTTACTGTTGTCTTATAACAGTGTTGCTGTTGTCTTATAACAGTGTTACTGTTTTATAACAGTGTTACTGTTGTCTTATAACAGTGTTGCTGTTGTCTTATAACAGTGTTACTGTTTTATAACAGTGTTACTGTTGTCTTATA